AGAAAGTGGTATTGGATGGCTGGGCGTGGTGGCTCACGCCTATAGTCCCAGCACTTTGGGAGACCAAGGTGGGTGGATCACCTGAGGTCAGGAGTTCAAGACGAGCCTGGCCAACATGGTGAAATTTTGTCTCTACTAAAACTACAACAATTAGCCAGGCATGGTGGCAGTCACCTGTAATCCCAACTACTCAGGAGGCTGAGGCAGGAGAATCATTTGAACCTGGAAGGCGGAGGTTGCAGTGAGCCAAGATAGTGCTTCTGCACTCCAGCCTGGGCAACAGAGTGAGACTCTGTCTTAAAAAATGTGGCATTTGAACCAGAACGTCGTGAGTAGGCAGGAGTTCCACCAGTGAAGGTGGGGGTGCCATTGAGAAAGGAGAGGACGAGGTGTATGGGAGATGAAATTCAGCAGCATCAGAGAATATCCTGTGCATTGCCTCTCCATGGTTTTGGGTACTGAATGCTAGGATTTTGGGGCAGGCCATGAAGGGAATTAAAACATTCAAAACATGAAACAACTTAGCAATAACACTGACGTAATCACCATTGCAGTTTAACTGTCTAAGCATCTAAAAGCATTGTCACAATTGTACCGTTTCTTACTCCTCTCAGCTCTATGTTGCCGTTGGAGTAGAGCTGTTCACTGATCTTACCATGGTCTCTAATAGGACGGTGTTCTCACACATTCTAGAACACGCTGTCTTTGGTGCTGACATGGAGTCACACTATATTGCTGTCACTCATTACTTGACAGTCTCAGTCCTGTGTTCCTCTTGACAGACCTCCCACTGGTGGTATAGATTTATTGTTGAGAAGCTGGTTGGGCACAGTGGCTCATGCCTATAATCCCAGCACTTTGGGAGGCCGAGGCAGGTGGATCACCTGAGGTCAGGGGTTCAAGACCAGCCTGGCCAACATGATGACACCTTGCCTTTATTAAAAATACAAAAAATTAGCCAGGTGTGGTGGGGGCTGTCTATAATCCTAGCTACTTGGGAGACTGAGACAGGAGAATTGCTTGAGTCTGGGAGGCAGAGGTTGCACTGAGCTGAGAGCACGCCATTGCACTCCAGCTTGGGCTACAAGAATGAAACTCCATTTAAAAAAAAAATAAGACTGCCTGAGTTCAAGCTCCAGCTCTACCGTTTATTGGTTATGTGGCCTTGGGCAAGTTGCTAAACCTCTTTGTGCCTTAATTTCTTCAACTGTAAACATGGTTTGGCTGTGAACCCACCCAAATCTCATCTTAAATTGTGATCTGAATTGTAATCCCCAAGTTTTGAGGGAGAGACCCGGTGAGAGGTGATTGGATCATGGGAGCAGTTTCCGCCATGCTGTTCTCATGACACTGAGAGTTCTCACGAGATCTGGTTGTTTGCTAAGTTCTGGCATCTCCCCTGTTCGCTTGCTCTCTCTCCTGCCACCTTGTGACGAAGGTGCTTGCTTCCCCTTCGCCTTCCATTGTGATTTTAAGTTTCCTGAGGCCTCACCAGCCATGCGAAACTGAATCAATGAAACCCCCTTTCTTTATAAAGTGCCTTGTCTCAGGTAGTATCTTTATAGTAGTGTGAAAATGGACTTACACATGGGGTTAATAATGTTACCTACTTTTATAGGGCTTTATTGTCCTTAAGTGAGTTAATACACATAAAGCACTTAAAACAGTGCTGTGCACAGAATAAGTACCTTTAGTAAGTGTTGGCTTTTGTTATTTATAATATTATATTCAGTTTGACCTACTGGCTAGAATTGGGCAGCATATTTATAAGGGTTTATGGGGCCGGGCACGGTGGCTCACGCCTGTAATCCCAGCACTTTGGGAGGCCGAGGCGGGTGGATCACTAGGTCAAGAGATCGAGACCATCCTGGCCAACATGGTGAAACCCCGTCTCTACTAAAACTACAAAAAATTAGCTGGGCATGGTGGCGCGTGCCTGTAATCCCAGCTACTCAGGAGGCTGAGGCAGGAGAATTGCCTGAACCCAGGAGGTGGAGGTTGCGGTGAGCCGAGATCGCGCCATTGCACTCCAGCTTGGGTAACAAGAGCGAAACTCCGTCTCAAAAAAAAAAAATAAATAAATAAGGGTTTATGGCCAAGAGGTATGCCACAACATTCTGTTCACTGAGACAAGACGACCAGAAAAATGCCTCCTTCCCAACTTGACCCATAGCTACAACGAACAGCCAGGTATAAAGGTGAAACATTTTTATTTAGTTTCATCACAGAGGTTAAATAGACTTTTATGACAGTCATCCATACAAAATATAACAAAGGTTGTGGGCATAAATAAGAATGGTCCTAACTAACTATTCTGTTTTTATAATGCACAGTTCTTTTAGTTGATTACAAATATGAAGTATATTACCTCAAGATGCTGAGATTTTCAAATTCTATTTAGCAATTTCCAAAAACTGAATTCTAGAACTAAAGACATATAAAAAGATGATTTTTAAATGGAACCAGCCACCTTAAAAAATACTTTGAAAAGCATGATTTAAACTTTAGAAAATAAAACTTTTAATACTTTAAGAGATAACATGATGCAAATGTTGCTTGTTGGCCTGACTGTCCAGGACTAAGACCCTCTGGGAAGCAATAGGGCTCAGTAGTGTACCGGAACCTGCTACGGAGGTGTGTTGGTCCACAGAGACAGGATTCTCTCATTACTGGGTGACTCTTGAAATGAAGCCTTTGCTTTCATTATGCATTTGGCTTTATAATCTTCATTGACAAATAGTTCTGAAAAGGAAAAAGAAACAGTGGTTAAAAAAAATATGTATGTATATATGTATTTCAGTTAGAGTTTCTCAATCTTGGCACTACTGACCAGATGATTTGGTCAGTAATTTTGAACCAGATGATTCTTTCTTGTTGGGGAGTGTCCTGTGCACTGTAGCAGGTTCAGCAGCTTTCACCGGCCTCTACCCACTGAGCGCCAGTAGCACCCCCAGTTGTGGCAGCCAAAACGTCTCCAGACATTGCCAAATGTCTTCTTGGGGGTAGGGAACAAAATCTCCCCTGGTTGAGACCCATTGGTTTAAACCAATAGAATCTAAACTGGGGGAAAAAATAATAACTAGGCTAAGCGCAGTGGCTCATGCCTATAATCCCAGCACTTTGGGAGGCCAAGGTGGGCAGAGCACCTGAGGTCAGGAGTTCAAGACCAGCCTAGCCAACATGGTGAAACCCTGTCTAGACTAAAAATACAAAAATTAGCTGGGCGTGGTGGCGGGTGCCTGTAATCCCAGCTACTCAGGAGGCTGAGGCAGGAGAATTGCTTGAACCTGGGAATTGGAGGTTGCAGTGAGCCGAGGTTGTGCCACTGTACTCTGGCCTGAATGATAGAGTGAGACTCCTTCT